GGATTCCGTACATATAAAGAACGCTGAAATTCGAGTTATAACGAAGAACTTATGACGTGTCGAAGTTTCGCGACAGAACCGGTACGACACAGCGTGACGTAAATAGTGAATTTACGTTATAACGATATTTAGCCATAGTGATCTAAATTAAAGTCGTAGAATACGTTAAGCCAAGAGCGTGCATAAAAGAACGCCCAAATCTGACTTCGTATGAAGAAGTTCTGATTTTTCTAAGTTTCAGCTTAACAGTATGCAACCCGAAACTCGAACTTGAGATCGAGTGATTTTTGGTCGAAGCAATCTAAACGATAATCGAAGATCTTGTTATTAGTAGTGCAATGATTAAAAGACAGACGAAAACGGACGTCGGATGAAGAAGTTATGAATTTATAATGGAGTTTTCCTGTCCCAGCCTACTTAAAATAAATAATAAAAATAAAGTCAAATTTAGCTGACGGAGTCTAAACGAAAGTTGTAGAGTATAGTCTCACCTACGTGTGGATATAAACCACGTCGAAAATGGAGTTTGTATGAGGAAGATATGAATTTCTGAAGTTTTTAAATAATTAAAATATATTTATTTAATTATAAAATCGGATAATACCAAACCCATGACTCATCCGGCCTTATCCACCAGGTACGCCCAGCGTACCTAGATGTACGGCCAATATACATGTCGACGGAGGATTACACCCAGCGTAACTCGAGGTTTCAGCCCCTATAAATAGAACACAAGTGCAACCGAGTTTCTTTGCTCATTTCTTTCTTTCTCTCTCATTTTTGCATCGTTTTGCATGCAAAAAATATCCCGAAGCCCCGGTATCATCCCGAGACCCAAAGCGAGTCCTGAAGCCCGAAGATCCCGAGAAGTGAAATTCCCGAGCCGAAGCTCTGCCAGCGAGAAGTCGGTTTTTGTGAAGATCTTCCAAATCTACCGAAGAATACTATTTTTACAAACCATAGTGTTGTCCGAGCATCGTCTAATCAAGTGAGTGTGTAGTCCCTTTCATAACACGATTTTAATACAAGTATTGTTTGAATGTATTAAGTATATGTTTTGTGTGAGTGTGTAGTTACTTTCTTCTAACACATAAATACGAAGTATTTACTATGAAATACGTGCTATGTGTTTATATATTGTTTGTTTATTTGAGATGGGTGGAATGAATGTTTTATATATATATATATATATATATATATATATATATATATATATATATATATAGGTTTTAAATGAGTTAACCTGTACATATATTTTATATCTACATATATGTTGGATAGAACATGGGTAGATGGAATAGTTGATGTGTGATGAAAGATCCATGTTAAGTAAACCTTGCCGATTATGGAGTTAGCGCATGTTGAGTAAATCTTGGCGACTATAGAGTTAGCGCTTGTTGAGTAAACCTTGGTGACTATGGAGTTAACGCATGTTGAGTAAACCTTGGAGACTATGGAGTTAGCGCTTATTGAGTAAACCTTGGCGACTATGGAGTTAGCGCTTGTTGAGTAAACCTTGGTGACTATGGAGTTAGCACCTGATAGCTATGGATTTAGTACCTGATAGATAAACTTTGGCAACAATGGACTTCATGCCAATTCCTTAGGTCAATCCTTAGGAATGAGTGAATGAAGGATAGTTGATTCTTAGGGTAAAACCTTATGAGTAAAGAAGATAATGGGGATGGGTAGTTGGGTTAATTGTTTGATAATTGAATATAATAATTATATTATTGTGGGTTGAAAACCCTATATGCTCACCAGGCTTCCAAGCCTGACTCACTCAGTTTTCTTTGCATTACAGGTAATGACACAAGGGTATAAGTTGGTGGACTTAACGAGAGATTTTGAATTATAGATCAGTAGTTATAAATAACTGGTGTAAGTCTATTTTATATTGTTTATGCTTTTGGTCTGTATCGGAACATAACATCCCGAGCTTTTGTTATTTAATGAAAATACATTTCTTTAAATAAATGATTTGATAAATTTTTATCACATTTTGTTTTGTGAACAAATTCCGCAACAGTTTTATGTAAACGATTACTTTGAATTTAAAACAAAGCATAAACAAATCGGTCTTTTCTGGCTGTGAAAATGGGGATGTCACAGGTGAGTCTTTAAGACTAATTTAAAAAGGTTGGGTTCAAAACTGTGACAACCCAAAAATTTCTATTATGTACAACCATCCACTTCAATATGAGTCAAAACTATTTATACTAACTTTCAAACTTTTTGGAATAAGTATGAGTGGTTTACATTTAGTATTTCAAGAGATAACTGGAGAGTGGATGCCCTAGTGTTTGTTATGCATCAATTAGGTTCCAAAAACTCTAAGAGTTTGAGTTTACGGCCCAAATGGTATTTGGACCGTAAACCCTAATGACTATATAAGTGAGACTTGGTTATTTTTCTCACTTTTTCACAATTCCAAGATCCAAACTCAAATCCTCTCAAGTACCATCCGAATTTTCCTTCTTGATCTTCAACTTGTAAGTATTTCTAGCCCTAATATGCTTAGATCAAGTGTTATACTTCATGAAATCATCTAAACACCCCAAAGAAAATATGTTCATGGCCAAGAATCTTCTTGGACCGTGAACACTAAAAATGTGGCAATAATGTGCCCAATGTCCCTCTAGACCTTTGAAACAAGCTTAGAAGCAACCCTTGACATGTATAGAACTTAAGAGCATCAAGAAAACACCCAAATATCACAAGGAAGTAGTGTTTACGGTCCAAGAATCTCCTTGGACCGTAAACCCTAAAAAGGGTGCTAAAGGTTGCCAAAGTGCCCCTTAAACTCTTACCAAACCTTGGAAACAAACATAGAAACTTCCATGGATGTGTTTAGCACAAGAAAACCACAAAAATGTCCCATATTTATGTGTTTACGGTTTGGGGAGATCCCAAAATCATAAACACCCCAATGAGGGTTATAATGCCCCATAACTTCTTCCTTAAGCTTAGAAACTAGTCTAGACCTTTACTCGAAAGTGTTTAAGACTTGAAAACATCATTTGACCATGAACCATTTGGGTTTACTACCTTAAACCCAAGGACAAATGGTCCAAAAACCGTAAACTCAAGTGGAGTTGGTTACAAAACCGTAAACACCAATTAGTGCCATTTCACTTCCCTTTGTTGAATCACATGTGTTTCCAACACCTAGCCAAGGTGTTTCCTAGTCCCGGAAGGTGTTTCCTTTCATATAGTTGTTTATAAACACTATATTCATGTCAATATGTGTCCTTATATGTCATTTAGGACTTATTGTGTCACGAGACTTCATTCGTGGAACTTCTCATCAGTACGCGCATACCCGATTGAATCACCCACATCAGGTGAGTTCATACCCTGTAATGAATCTTTTAACTATTTTAACTGTTTTAGGGGGGGAATACAGGTTGAACACAATGATAATTGTGAAAATGTGTGTTGTTAAACATCTTTCAAAATGTTACTTATGTTATTTATAAGTTGTCAAAACATTTCAAAACTCTTTTAGAAGTTATGTTACTTTATAGTTATACAAAACTCTGTTTTTAAAGTACAAGCATAACTTAGTAGATAAATGAGTCTTTTCAGTAACAGTCTAGGTACAACATTAATAAACTATTGTAGGTATAGTTTAGGAGAATGTTATTCATTACTTCTAGTAAAAATGAAGCACACAAAGAAACAGTACCATAACAGAACAAACAATGAAGAGAATCAAACAATACCAGAACAGAACATAACAAATAGGGTAAGATGCTATAGCATGAGAACACACAAACAAGATCTAATTATATCAATGAATCACTAACGCAATAGTGATAGTTATATTGGGTATACATGATCATATAACTTTATTGTGAATTACACGGCTTGCAAGGAATTGTTGGGGTCGCGGTTGGTTCCCTTAATCGTTTTTCATTGAGAGTGTATAGTAGGGGTTCTAGCTTTCACATTATGACCGTAATAAAACAAATATGTTTTTAGGCTATTAGTACACCCGTATGGCATTATAAACGACATTTATGTACTTACTTTTTCCATTACTTTCATAAAGTGACAATACCACTTGAAAATTGATCTATTTTCTAGTCAAGATAGTTATAAACTAGGGAGAATATACTTTTACATTTGACAAAGGAACAGTCGGGTTTAACACAGAACAGAAGATGCTTTGGTAGAAGGCTACGATTAAAGGTTAGGATCATGATGTTAACTTTATGATTCCTTAATGTATACACTATAGGATGTGTGCTCTTCGCTTCACTTCCTGTTCTCATTGGATTGTGGGCTTGGAATGAGGTCATCCAATCTATTATCTACCCGTCTTTCTCTCTCTCTCTCTCTCTCTCTCTCTATATATATATATATATATATATATATATATATATATATATATATATATATATATATATCACTATAAGAAAACAGCCATTTAATGACGCGCAAACAATGACACTCGCTGATAGACGACGCGCATTTGCAAGTGCCCTAAAAGATAATGTCAGTTTTGCAAAATTTGAAGGATAGAGGGCACGCATTTGTGCACGCCTTAAAATTAGTGTCAGAAAAGAAAAAAAAGAAATGCAGAGGGCGCCTTTCATAAAATGTGCGTCGTGTAAATGTGTCACTTTATAACTTTTAAGTGAAACACGCGTTTTAGGCGGGAAATGAAATCGATGAAAATTACCCCCGCCTATTGAATCCCAAAAATTAATCCCCCCGCCTCTTCTACTTAGCAAGAAAAAGCCCTAGGTCCCTTATCTTCATCTTCAGTATCATCAAACATCTCGTTCATCCTCTGCATTATTTCCATCATTCTTCCCTCTCCTCACTGATTAATACCCAAAAAACCCTAATATCATAACCACTCCTATTTTCTCGCACAACAAAATCCCAAAACATCACCAAATACTAAATTCCACAAAATCATTCTGAACATTTTAGCTAGGGATTTTTTTCAAGAACAAAAACACTCTCTCATCTCTCTTAGCTCTGAAACAATGGACGGTTCACCTTGCTTCGCCTTTGGTCACTTCTCCTCCGGCGACGTCAGGCCTTCCTCGTTACAAATCGACCAACGATATCGTGGTGAAGCTTGGCTGCCAAGCTGTGACCTTACGCAGAGGTAGAAGACTTCACGGTGGGTTTTCCTATGGCGTTCCCCCCAAAGCTAATTTCCACTCTTTCATCCCCTTTTACTCCACCGATCGTGCGATTGGCAATGATTCTTGACTCTTACAACCCTATGACCCTCTTCTTCCTCACGTCGTATTCTATCCTATCGTTCTTGCTTTTCATCTCCTTCTCACTATAAATAATTGCAGGTTCTATCTAAGAAATCAATTTTAGGGGGTATTAGGGTTGGACTTTTCTAATTTAATGGTTTGTTGTTCTCAAAATTAGGATTAATCGATGTTGGTGGTTTGGTCGCACGCCTTCTTCACTGTGGGATAGAGATCATCTCCCATTGTTTCTGCTAAGGTATATTTCACTGATTTCTCGATCATATGTCTACTTCAATATCTAACACCTCTGTGTCTCCGTGTTTGCAATTGCAGGTAAACAAAGGGTCTGTTCTTCCATTGTTCACACTTAAAGATCAAGACGGTAAAACTGTGAGCCTCTCGAAATTCAAAGGCAAGCCACTTGCACTACAAATAAATTTACATATAGTGGCACAAACTTTTAATGGCACAAAATTTTGTGCCACTATATTAGGTTTTTAATGGCACAGAAATTTTCATTCCTGCTACTTGCTAAAATTTCATTCCCGCTTCTATCAAATTTTCATTTCCCGCTTTATTTTTCTTTCACCCAATATAGATGTTAAAACTTTCATTATCTTGTAAAAATTCAACCGTAAGTATCTTTTCAAACCTAAAATGAAGTCCAATTCTTATCTGCTCCTCTCTCCACTGTGTGCCACAGCTTTGTGCATCGATCTATCCTTTCGTCTTCTCTAGCCAGTGAAGTTCACCATTGACACACATTAAGGTCTGTATCTACTCCGTTCTTGAATATTTAGATTTTTGATGTTAATTATTATTGGTGAGAAGTTTTTTGAGTTTCATTTTTAACCTAATTTCTTCTAATTTCTTGTAATTTTCTTCGAATATACTCATTTGGAAAAGTAGTATAGAGTTATACTACAACTATTACCTTTGTTTTTTTGACGAACACTAAGTGTTCGATCAAATTCCTCAATGAAACTGGAAGCCTCATCTGACGATATCATGCTTCCTTTTGTTTATAGTTACAAATTTTGTAAGTTGTACTTGAACAACACCTACAAAACTAGGTGAATGTATTCATTTCAGAAAACTTTTATGTATTGTTGAACTATATGATGATGTATGCTAATTATTTGTAGTGTTGTTACACTTAATTCTATTCTTCCTACTATTTCTCTAAAAAAACATGTCAACTTTATTCATTCCATGAAATTTAAGCATAAATTGTCTTTGATAAACTTTAAACATCCCTATTTATCAGATTAACATCAGGTGAGGGATCTCAAGGTCTCTTACCTTCATTCATATAACTATCAACTTATTCAAGTTGCCTCTTAATGTTTTCTTCTTGTATATTAGCACTGTTGTCTGGTGGGTTTTTGTTTTAACAAAAATTGTGAAAAAGACTTATAATGAGGAGAACACAACTTTGAGTTGTTTCATCCCCAAGTGTGCTCCTTCGTTACCTGTACCCAAAATCTAACAAGATGTGGGTAATAGATCTTCACTATAGTTACTTTTAAGAGCTTCAAAAGTGAGCTTTCATTAGAGAAAAAGACATTTCTTTTGTTTGGGGTTACATTGAGATTGTATACCTTTGTTATCCCCTATTCTAAAAATCATGTTTTTTCCAGGTTAAGCCTTTGGTATAAAGAATAAGGACTTTCTGGAAAGCCTATAATGCCTGGAAGTAGAGGTGTTACTTTGTCGTATTAGCCTCTTGAGCTTTTATTAGTTGCTACTGATTATGGAGTAGATGTTGATTTGTGGAGTGCTGGTTGCATCCTTGCTGAACTTTTTGCTGGCAAGCCTATAATGCCTAGAAGAACAAAGGTACTTTATATAACCCATTAAGCCTTGTATGGATAAAATGGCTGAATGGGTGATGATATAATGTTGTATACATAAAGACTGTTTCTTTTCAAGACTGAATTGACTGTCTGAATCTGAGTAAATGATCATTTTACCCTTCTATTGGGAAATAACAATTTGTCAAACAAATCAAACCCATTTCTTAGTTTATATCTTATTAAACAACTCAATACAATTTCATAGTTTATACTTTATACTCTATACCAATTATCAAACTAATCCGGACCTCATCAAAGCAAATATGTAAACTTAAAGCTAAAAAATGTAACAGAAAACCTTAACCAATTTCACAAATTTGAACTTAATCAAAACTATAAATCTCATAGTATTCTTACGTCTGAAAGTATAGATTTACAATTAGTTTTCATTTTATGAGTATTCTTTTTTAAATAAAACAAAGCTCCAAATGTCTAACCATATGCTTCAAGTCCAAATCCATAAGGAATGGTTAGGGGATAGAAAGGCAAAAATGTAACAAATAATGTTTGTATGTATTAAGCTAGTTTTTTTTTTTGGCTTAAACATAAACTTCAAGTCTAATCCCTGTTGTATGATTTTTTCACCTTTTTAGTCACTGAAACCGACACCGTGATTAACTGCATGTAGAATGACTATTTTACCCTCTATTTCATATTTTTCTTATTACTCATTTGTATTAATAATTATTCACAGGTGGAGCAACTACACAAAATTTTTAAACTTTGTGGTTCACCATCTGAAGAGTACTGGAGAAAATCAAAGTTGCCTCATGCCACTATTTTTAAACCACAACAGCCTTACAAACGGTGTGTGGGTGAGACATTCAAGGATTTCCCTCCATTTGCTTTAATGCTTTTGGATTCTCTCCTTGCATTTGAACCTCATAATCGAGGATCTTCTTCTTCTGCACTACATAGTGAGATACACTTAAGCTCTATTCTGTATGAATGGGTAATGATGTCTGTCTGGATAAATTGTTGGGAAGATAAAAGAAGAAGGGAAAAATAGGTAAATGGGTAGTGTCTTAATACGTTAATTGATGTGTTTTTTTGGGGGATAACCCATTAAGAGTATTTGCTTTCTCAAAATTTCAAAAAACTAATGGCTAATTTTTTTATTAGGATAATATACTTTTTAAAGTCTACCCAATTATAGTAATGAAAATTTCTTTGTATTTTGAGGACATTGTTATTTGGGTAAAAATTATAAAATTATAATCCTGTAGTAAGAAATGAAAGTAGAATGCTATTATAAAAAAATAAATGAAAGTAAATTACAATCCGTTAGGCTAGGGTTGGGTCTTTGTGTGGGTTCAACTCTTTTGTGTGTGTAAGTGGTAAAAAGCCATAACCTGCATGTATGGTCTGTGTGAGGTTTAAAGTTACAACATATTCTTGGGTTTTGTTACCCAAATCCACTTTGTGAAATTTTTTGATATTGGTCCAACTGTGATTGCCCATTACAAGTTGCACTTTCAAACTAGTAGTGTTAATGAGTGTTTTCTTTGGTCGTTTCTAATGTTGCTAATGTTGTTGTTTGGTTCCATAAAGATGGCATGAAGTAATTAGATTAAAGAACCTTTTGCCCCTGCTACTTAGGACCTCTCATGAATTCTTTGCTTTAAAGACTCTTTTTCCCTTGGCTTTTCATCAGGTGCAATTAGACTCGTTATAGATATTTTATATATAAGAGGAAAAAGATTCAAACTAATTAAGTCTCAGTAATTACAAACATCTCCTTCATCTTTCAATGTGTATAATTACAACTTCTATTATTAAATGCCTCAAGTGATAAAGGGATCTATCAGGGGTTCTTTATGGATTGATCAAGGAGTTCAACGTCGACAAGTTTCTAGGTATATGCCCTCGTATAACTTGTTATAATTTGCTCATTTTACTGAAATTTATCATATTTCTATAATGTCACAGGCTAGGGTTCGATGTGCTACTGTTGTGAGTTTGGATGTAGACCCCTGTTTCAAGAGAATTGCATTCGTATAAATTATAATGATGGTCAACATTTCTGTGTAGGTAACTATTTTATTCATATCTTCTCTCTCTCTCTCTCTTATCCAAATCACATTTCCTTTCTATAGTATCTCAAGTAGCAGAATAATTTCAAGGAAAAAGCACATCTGATGTGCTGCAAAAGAGATTCACAAACTTGATTTTTTAAACCTGATGTTTAAAACTACACTGAGTGTGGGATAGAAGTTTATGCAGAGAAGGAAAAAGATAGAAGTTTTTGAGGATGCTGCTGATAAAAAAGATAGAAGTTTTTTAGGATGCTGCTGATGAAGTTTATGCAGAGAAGGAAAAAGATAGAAGTTGTTGGCACATAGTAAGCTAGATAATGCAATTGTATATAAATGAGTTCATTTTTTTATAACATTTACTCACTATTGGAATAATTATTTGTATTTGACATATTAGTGAAATGAATTATCTTTGTTATTTATGGTATTTTATTTTGTATTATGAGATTTTTAATGTATTATTTAATATGAAAAATTAGTAAATCTATAAATAATATTTTTTTTAAACATTTAAAATTATGATACGCAAAAATGTGTGTCATCTTTATTTATGACATGGCCTTTCTTGACATGGCCTTTCTTGATACGCATTGCTTGTCATTAACACGCACATCGTAAGATTACGACACGTGAATGCGTGTCGTCTTCCTTTATGACAGGGCCTTCCTTGATACGCATTGCGTGTCATAAACGCGCGTCGTAATTGCGCGTAGTCTATAGACGACGCGTAAAAGTGCATCATCTCTCTTAATGACAGGGCCTTCCTTGACGCGCATTTGCGCGTCGTCTGAGCCTTTTACGACGCGCAATGAGCGTCGTAAAAGGTTGTTTTTCTAGTAGTGTGTGTGTATATATATATATATATATATATATATATATATGCTTAGTATCCATTAAGTCATCATAATGGTACCAGGTATGGATCAGTTTATAGGACACAGAGTCACCGCACAGTTTTTCTAGTACAAAAATTACTTTTCAAAGTCAGTACTTTTGGTATACAAAACTAGAGATTTCCCCGATAAGGGCTTAATCCATTTTATTAAGCCGGTACAGTTTTAGAGACTTTAAGTGAATAACTCTATAACACCTTAGTTTATACACAATGTTTATATATAAAGCTAATACCCAATAGATAGTTAACGGTGTGTTTTCCGCCTTACTTCCTGTTCCCATTGGATTGTGGTTGTAGGGCAGATTCGCTCAATTAACTTTCTACCCGGCATCAGATTATATATAGCAGTATAAACAAAGCTATTATAAAAGTAGTCACCGTAGTCATTATTTTACTATAAGAAATATAGGTTTTCTTAAAGAACTTTTCATTAGATATAAAGGAACCGCTACAAATAACTCCATGAGTAACAAGTGAATACACCAGGGTTATATATGATAACGATCTAACAACCAATGTAATGTGTGCTATCCGCCTTACTTTCTTTTCCCCGTTGGGTTGTGAGCTTGGGCAGATGCGCACAATCGATTATTTGTTTACTCTGAGTATATATAACTTGTACCCACTTGGTACCCATAGAAATTCTTGTAGTGTCATTTTACTTAACTTTCATTCAAGTAGGAAATATATGATTTTCTAGAGGAACAGGCGAACCTTTCAAAACAGAACTTACAGCTTACATCACTTTTAGATATACATTTTCCGCAACGCTTTACAACATACTCACATCACTAAAATCTTATGAACTCACCAGCTTAATTGCTGATCAACTCTTTCAAATAACTTGTATTCTCAGGAGACTATTAGACAGGTGCTTGTGCTGGGGATTCAGAAGATGGAGCATTATAGCTTCAAGTCTTGTTTTGTTATTTGTGTATGAATTCTATGTTTTGTGAACACGCACATTGTAAACACTTTCTTTCTAAATGAAATGATTATTCATTACTTGCTTACCATATACATATCTCGTGATACGAAACATGACATCCTCCACCCCCGAACGTTTCTGCCGTTCCGATTTTAGGATGTGACAAAAACCATCAGGTGCATGTCATCCCTATGGTATGCTCGTGCTACCATAAAAAGATGTTGTTTTGTTAGTAGGTTCACAAGTTATACATGGGAATTGGATTGACATTAATGCAAGACATATGATAAAGTTGATGTTGGTGGCTGATGAACTTCTGGGCATGCCAAGCAGGGAAGTTGCACCATAATTTTTCGGCTGGATTTTCATCATGTGCCATGGTGAAATTATTAGAATGGTTATTCTAAGTGCATATACTCTTTTATGGTTATGTATGATAATTCTATGTTTTTAGAATTATGAGTGTCGGTTGACAATGATGTTCCTTTTATGTGGTTGTGGTTTTCTTTCATTTATCCAGTGTGAAGACTGTTGAGATTGATGGCTAAAGAGTAAATATTGTCCCTATCCCACATTGCTGCAATGATGACAGCTTGGGAGGACTCCAATATTATAAATATAGTCCAAGACTTTGGTTTCAAAGCACCCCAACCAACATACACTTGAAGTGTTTGGTTCTTTCATTTTCTCTTCTTTTTAGAGTGTAGAAAGTGTTAGTTAATACTTTGGGAGAGTGTAATTGTATTTTTTGCGGCAGCTTGAGATATTAGTATATCTGATTGTAACAATTTTTCATATAATGAATATTTCTCTCTAGAGTCCCATGTTTTATTTTCTTGTTTTAGAATTTCCATGCATATTCTTGTGTCTAGTTATTTTGTTTATTATTGTTAGTGGATAGTTGGGATTATTGAGGTTGTTTTGCCAACAGTATAAAGAGGAGTGTGAAAGATCTTTGCTTGAAAAATCACCTCGTATAAAATCCTTACGTAAAGAGAAAGGATATAGGAGTGTGAAAGTTTTCAAATCAATTTAATTAGTGGGTGTCAAGTAATATCAAGAGGGAATTATTAAGTTAAAAAATTTATTTACATATATACAATATAGTAGATTTCTCACAGCCAAGTGGGGTGTATGGGCACCACTCCATACTCACCGGCTCCGCCACTGTGTAAGGTAAGGGTGGTGGGGGTGAGGGTGGGTAGGTAGTAATTCATCACATAAAAAACTACAACAAAGATGGGGTTTCATAAGTTCTTTTTGATGAGTTTTCCGATAACCAAATTAAGGATTGCATATCATGCTATTAAATTCTTTGGTTGCATTAGGTGCGCTTAGTGGGACAAGCTTTCTTAAGAGGTTAGTAACATATGGATGAGTTTAGGAATGAAAATAGTGGATGTATGTAAAAGTTCCATGTTGAGATGTGGTTGGAAATGATGGCAACGTCCTCCATGTGCAACTAATTTGTTGTCCTCACATGTAACTTAAAAGGGTATCAATTCATAGAAAGATCTTCATGGGGGAATAATAACCACAATTAGTGTTGGTCGTCATATGATTTTTTATTGATGAAAATGGAGTTTACATTGTGTGTCACATAGTTAGGGTCCAATACAACGGCATATATGTAATTTTTCTTACCATCTCGCATGTTGCCCTTCTATTCATTTCTCGGTTGACAAACAGACCCTCGACATTCCAATCTCTCTTGAACAAGGTTTTCCACCCTTACCTCATAAAATTTGCTCTTGTCTTTTTTTATGATATTTTGGTTTACAACAAGTCAATAAAAGAATACCACGAGTACTTAAAGACCGTGTTCGATTCTCTAAGGGTTGAAAGGTTGTTTTGCTATAAAAAAAGAAATGTGTGATTCGTGTGGACTACTTGGGGACAAGCATTCACTAGGGATGGCGTGATGGCAGGTCCAATAAAGATTTCAACGATGTTAGAGTGGCTAATACCAAGGATAGTTTGGGACTTATGTGGGTTTATCGGTTTGATAAGTTACTAATGAAAGATCATACAAAGGTATGTCAATATTGACCACGCTCTATCTGAACTCCTTAAAAAAGATAAGTTTACATGGAATAAAGAGGCTACACAAGCATTCTGATAGTTACAAAATGCAATGACTCAAGTCCCGG